TACGGCTAGGACAATGGAACTTTTTTTTTCGAGACGACGGTCGACTGTGTTTCGCTAGATCATCCATTCTGATAATTAGCGATAAGATGACTGACGAAGTCCAGGTGAGAACAAGAGTTATGACCACCACCGATCGCATTGTTCTATTTGCGGCCAGAGAAAATGACAACTGCGATTAAAAGAAAGAAAAGGAAAAGAAAAAGATAATTTTTTTTTTTAAGCAAGATATTTTTTTCCCTGAAACAAAGCCCGCGGGATCGCACACGCCCGGATGGATATCATTGGCCGAGTGGGGATCACGTGACGCAGGGAGGAAGCTGTCGCCGCCCACCTAGAGTATGGGTATGAGAGGTTGCTACGAAGAAGTGGGGAGGGCAGTTCACGCCCCTCTGAAGTATGGTGAGAAGGTGGGAGTAAGAGAAGGCTCCCAAAAATGGAAAGAAGTGGAAAATTCCTAACCAAAAATAAGAGAAGTGGATATGTATTTAGAATTATCGAGGAACCCCTGGCGCCGACACACCCACCCCGGTTTTGGTCGGCGTCCATATAAGCAAGGTTGCAGCGAGCAGAAATCAGTTCGGTTCGAGACAGTTCCCAGAGTCAGTCTCCAGTGCTCAGTTGAAGCAGGCCTCACATCGGCTGACCAAGATTCGCGCAATTTCCGGACTCATCTTCAATCCAAGAACAATTATTTTGAAGAGCGACTTAGATCCAGACCACCAAAATAAGTTTTTTCGACTTTCGCCCGAAGACACACCAAAAAAAACAATTTCTCAAAGAGCAAACAACTTGAAGTGTTAAAACTCGCCTAACGGAAAACAACGTGTCACAATCCATAGAACGGGTCGGGAGATAGACGCAGTCCTATGTATCCAACAACTAGACATAAAGTTTGTTATACCTTGAACTTTTGAGTTATCATTTTATTTCTTTTATACATATTTGTGCGATACTACCCTCGCTTGAACCCAACTTGCATTACGGCCCTGACGACTGATTGATCTCGTTTGCCTAAGATCAATTCACAACGTGGGTAGGCAGACTGGAGATCAACGCAGTTACTTTGGTAACCAGACGTTGGAAGCGAGTTGGGAACGACAAGGCTGATATCGAATCTAACCAGATTCCCATCCGAGTCACCCAAAAGGTTAGAACGTCACATTTGGGTGCCGAGACCGATACCAAGCCAGTTGGTCGTCACAGGACGAGACAATACGACTGACGCGACCGGCGGACGTCACGTTTGGAGCGGCGACACCCGAACGAAGCAGCGAGGATCGAGCGAAGGTTGTGTTTAGGGACGTCACACAAAGTAAGAGGGTTAGTAATAAGCAGATAGAAGTGTACGTCCGAACGGAAGGTTAACACTGCATCTCGTTTTGTCACGCACATAGGAAGTCTCGCAGGTTAGTATTTATGAAGAGGAGGAAGAGCTCATTCTATTGTAGGTGGGTTACTACAACAGTTATTTCTTTGCCAATACTCTGAATCTGCTTTATGATTACTTAGTTCCAAAGCTTTTATATATTTAATTTCATCATTATCAAATATTTCATTTTAGCCGGAGTTGATGGATAATCTAACTTTGACTGATTTAGGCAAATTATGTAGAATTTTGTGGTGGTGGTTTCATTTTTATTAACGTATCTACGGTTACATAATACTATTGTATATGGCTTATGGTAACCATTATTCAGGTCCAATGTTATAACTAGAAAGTTGATCACTTTAGCTTTGGTGGTGGCCGTCGTAATATTTAGATCGGGTTCCTTAAACAAAAGTTCTTTTCTGTATTTTACAAGCTCTTTTTTCAATACAGTCCTGTTTATTTTAATTGCCAAATACAATATTTTAAGAAATATAATTCTTTAATAAAAAATTAAATTAAAAGATATAATTTTTAAAAAAAATAACTAATAATATATATATATATATATATATATATATATATATATATATATATATATATATATATATATATATATATATATATATATATGTGTGTGTGTGTATCGTTCGTTCGGCATCCGTCCGTCTCGGCAGAAGATGGAGTAGCGCTGTAGGTCCTAGACGATGGAGTTACATCGCTTCTGGTGACTCTGGAGCGGCAGTGATATGATGGTTCCGTATAGGATACAGGTTCGATTCCTGTCGGAGGACGCATATTTTCTATGAGAATTTATCGGACAGTCTCGCGTTTTGCACTGACCTGACGTGGATCAACTACATTGAATCAATAGCTTCATCTGCCGCAACGAAAGTTGGTTCTCTGTGTCCACCCTTCAAATCTAAAAAATCTACCATTCGTCCTTGCATTGGAAACTGTTGCCATATATGGTCTGGTGTCCCGGCTGTTCAGTTCAAGATTCTCAACAAAATACAAAGACCCAAGGTCGATTTTACTGAATTGCTTTTAAAAAACAGTAAAATCGACCTTGCTAAGCGAAACGCTCCTCTGTGGCTCAATCGGTAAAAGCACGTCAGGCTATATGTCGGTTCCGTATAGGATACAGGTTCGATTCCTCTCGGAGGACACATATTTTCTATGAGAATTTCTCGGACATTCAGGCCGGTAAATGCTGTTAATACTGTTTATTATTAACACAGCATTTACTTAAATATTTGTATCTATAAAAAGAACGTATAAACATAAAAAAATGTCTTATATATATATAAAGAAAGAACAGTAAGATATATAATCCGGTGTTCTTATAGATATTTTTTAATCGTAATTAAATAAAACGTATTCTAACCTAAACACCCCACAAAAGTCTTTAAATATACAAATAGAAAAAAAATGCCGTAAGAATTTTTGCCGTTAACAATAAAATTTTAAAAAATCCAGACGACATGCACTTAACGGATGTTAGATTTCATTGAAAAATACATCCCTACCCCCTACCAAAACGTAACTAATAACTGACACATCAAAATACAGACATAATGAACACGCAGACACCCCTTGTCTAGTGGAAGTGGATTTATCTGTAACCTTGGAAACGTGAATTATGATTTTAGCTGTGTCTTTAAAACCCAGTAATTTTAAAAGTTACTCCAAAATTCGCTTGAGGATGAAATGGAACTAATGTCTTTAATTTAATTACAAAATTAAATTCGGAGCTTTTAGCTTCCATTTTTGAAACATGGTTAGAATTGTGTAGCGAAAAAACATTTTAAATCAATTAATTTATAATATATATATATATATATATATATATACACAAAAGTGTGATTTATGAGTTGTGGTGCGATGGATAAACATGAGTTTCCCTCACCTCATCCACTCTGACGTGTGTCTCCAAAAGAATCAGTAATATTGATTGACTACTTTCTGTGTAAATCATGCCGAACCAGGTAAATGTTTGACGACTACTGGTGGGCCTAACTGCAGTGAACGGATATTGCTCTGCTTGACGGCGGGCTTAGGTTAAACAAAAAAAGGAGACACCTGATGTGTTGATTGGCAGATAATTGTGTGGCATAAATAAATATTTAAACTATATATCTTAAATAAATAATTTATATAAAACGAATTAATATAGAAAAAAACTCCCATAGATCAGTTACTATTAAATCTTAATATTATTTCTTAAAATTTACTACTAATGTTCTATTTCTTAATACTGGGAACTCTATTAATAAATTCCCCTTGCTTTATTTACGCTATCCCCCAGTATTCTGCTAGTTGCCTCTTTTTCATGTGTAATGAGTTTGTTATATATGGGGCGTCTCAAAAAATGAATACGAATTTAAAAGCTTTCTCTAGTAATAATGCAAGCAACTAAAGCCAACTCGATCTAATTCAAATAATACATATGAAGACATTATTCTAAATACACGCTCTTAAGATTTTCTCATCGCATGTTTTCAAAACGATGTCCGTTATGATCCAGAATCCAATGTAATGGTGAATAGCACAAACGACACCATGGACGGTGAACCGCTGGAGTTTCAAATAGCTGGGAGCAACCCTGTCAAAAGATGCCACCTGCAACGCAGAAATCTGTACACGGATCGTCACAGCCACAGCAGCGGGAATCAAACTGGAAAGGATAAGAAAAAGCAACATCAGCTTCCATAGCAAATTCAAGCTTACCAAATTGCTGATACTCCTCTATGGGTGTGAGACTTAGACAATCCTCGTTTAGTCTTAAAAAAGGATCCAGATGTCCAAGAAGAAAACCTTGAGTCAGAAGCAGCAATCAACATTCCCATAACAATTTGGCTGTTTTTTTGTTTTTTTTTTTTGCTCTATAGAAACTTTCATTTCAGCGATTTATGCCGGCTTTGCAAGATAGAGTTTACTTTTTAAGTACAAGTAAAAAGCCGAAAGAGTTGAAAAGTGTAAAAGTAGTTTAGGTGAAAGGGAGTAAACGAATGACTATGTGCGAAAGAGTAAAACAATATTAGGCGAGGAGTAAAGGGTGTAAATATTAGGCACAGGAACGTAAAAAATTAGACCCGGACAGGAGTAAAAGAAAATTAGACGGGCAGGAGCAAAGGAAGATAGGGCGCAAAGGTGTAAAAGAAGATGTCGAGATCAGTAATAAATAATATTACGGGCAAGAAAGTAAAAGAAGATTAGGCGCGAAGGCGTAAAATTTTAGCCGGACAGGAGTAAAAAAGAAAATTAGACGGGCAGGAGCAAAAGGAAGATAGGGCGCAAAGGTGTAAAAAGAAGTTGTCGAGATCAGTAATAAATAATATTACGGGCAAGAAAGTAAAAGAAGATTAGGCGCGAAGGCGTAAAAGTTTAGCCGGACAGGAGTAAAAGAAAATTAGACGGGCAGGAGCAAAGGAAGATAGGGCGCAAGGGTGTAAAAGAAGTTGTCGAAATCAGTAATAAATAATATTACGGGCAAGAAAGTAAAAGAAGATTAGGCGCGAAGGCGTAAAAGTTTAGCCGGACAGGAGTAAAAGAAAATTAGACGGGCAGGAGCAAAGGAAGATAGGGCGCAAAGGTGTAAAAGAAGATGTCGAGATCAGTAATAAATAATATTATGGACAAGAAAGTAAAAAGAAGATTAGGCGCGAAGGCGTAAAAAAGTTTAACCGGACAGGAGTAAAAGAAAATTAGACGGGCAGGAGCAAAGGAAGATAGGGCGCAAAGGTGTAAAAGAAGATGTCGAGATCAGTAATAAATAATATTACGGGTAAGAAAGTAAAAGAAGATTAGGCGCGAAGGCGTAAAAGTTTAGCCGGACAGGAGTAAAAGAAAATTAGACGGGCAGGAGTAAAAACAAATTAGACGGGCAGGAGTAAAAGATTAGAGGGACAGAAGTCTTAATAGCCTTAAACCTTTGAGCCTTGCTTTTCTAAACATTTTTAACCCTTCTGCCTGAGTCAAAATTCGCAAATTAATTATATTAAATGGTGAGAGGAAAAAGATGATCATTCAGATCCTCAGTAATTCAATTCAACAACTATCAAGAGAAAGGTGAACAGTAGAGTGGAAAACTGGATTATGACATCGCAACATGAAGAATTATGCCGGCTTTGTAGCGTAGAGGTTATTTTTAAAAGTATGTCTACATAAAAAAGCCGAAGGGGTTGAAGACTGGTGAACTCTAAAAATATTCTACAGAACATCGACTTCCGACTGTTTGGAATAATTTAATTCTGATATAATCGTACATCACGATGGCAGTGTTATGGTTCACCATCTTACTGAAAATTAAAGCTTCTCTTTCATGTCATTCGTCTTTTACTAAATTCATGCAAATGTCTTCCAAGAACTTACCAGCCATATGTAAAAATAACCCCTCTTCACGTGATGAAGGTCACAAGATCCGAAATATGGAAACTAAAGTATAATATATATTTTATAAATTCACATTATACTCAAAAACGTTTGCTGCTTGTCTTTTCCCTTTTAATATAAACTTTTCTCTCGTTGGAACAACTATAACATCTTCCTTATATACATATATATATATATATATATATATATATATATATATATATATATATATATATATATATATATATATATATATATATATATATATATATATATATATATATATATATATATATACGTATGTATGTATGTATACCAGGTGTAACAACAAAATTGTTCAAATCCTGTAACAGCATATTTGTCCATCCCTCAAATGTTTAATATCTAAAGAAAACACGAAATTAATCGAGTTTTTTCCAGGTTTTCAGATAAACCGTTAGCCATGTTGACACCATTTATCGTAAGATTAACTGAAAAACTCTTTCATTCATTCCGTTAGAAAGAAAACGGGTTAAAATCGTTTTGTGTCAGTTTCACTATGTCTTTTCAAATGAACAATGGTGAAACGAAAAAAGATCATTCGGGCCTTCAGTAATGATACCAACATTCATATTCTGGCTTCTATCTTTAAATTTCATTCAAGAACCATCAAGAGAACAGTGAAAAGTTAAAAAAAAAGACGAAATAGTAGAGAGGAAAACTGGACCAGGACGTCACAACAAGAAGAGGGATCATCATTTCAACTTAGAGCTAAAGAGATCAATTAGAAAAGATCCAACACAATCCATAAGACATTTGGCGCATGAGAGAGGAGTTTCAGCTATGACAGTTAAAAGAGCAGTGAGAAAAAGACTTGAAAATGAAATCGTACGTGAAACCTGTGAGGCACATTCTTACTCCAGGACAGAAAGTTAGAAGTTTAGAAAGGGCGAAGATCATCTTGAATAAGTTTGAAAATGATCCTGGAATTATATATATATATATATATATATATATATATATATATATATATATATATATATAAGTAGCGAAAATCTTGGTAATCCGTATGGATAATCCCAAGGAAGATGAAATCCTGAGAGCTCAATGTTAAGTCAGAGCGAATAATTTAAAGAAAACAGAACACTTTAAGCCTCCATTATTTATCTATCTCTTTCTCACTATATATATATATATATATATATATATATATATAAACTTTTTATCAATTCCTCGTGAGCTACCGATTCTTAGCTATGATTAATTCATGATGAACATATTTTCGTTCATGATTGATTTTATCACGATTTCTTCTGTTAAGCTTGGCGAGTAATTATGCAGTCTTATTGCTCAAAGGAGAGCCTAATAGTGTTGGGATTTCTGGGGTACATAATTAAGAAAGAAGGCTTAGGAAATTTGATACTCACAGGATAGATTGGGGGAAAGAGAGATAGAAGGAAGCAACGCGTTACATACTTGATGAGATTGAGTAAATGGATCGTAGAACGTCGGGAGGAATAACAAAACGGCAAAATTTATTAGGAGCTACAAGGGTCAGGAAAACGTGGAGGGCCGTGATCACCTACGTCCTGGAGGGACACGGCATATAAAAGAAGAAACTAATTTCACCATTACTTGTTCAAAGAGAACGCAAGCAATCTTTCTGGCTTCATTGAAGGACGTTTCTCGTTTCTGTCAAAACTTGTTTCTTTTATAACAAATTTCTTCCTTTCTTCCTTCACTACTTGACGAGACTGTCACACTTTTAAATTTTCTTCTTCTTTGCTTGAATCTCTCCATTTTAGAGTCGATTTGGGACATTTTTCTCTTTTTCTCTCCGATCTTTTTTTTTCTTTATCGGATTATTGTCGATAATGTTCCAGAATTCTTTCCTCTTTTCTTTCTATTGACAATTTCATTCATTATTTGCTTTATATAATTCCTTTTAATTTTCTTCCATTTTATTATCGCTTATCATTTTTCTTCCTCTTTTCTTCTCTCATCTTTCTTCGTTCTTCCATTCTTGAGACTCTTTCATTAATTACTTTATTTCCTTCCTTCCTTTCTTTTATATTGAAATTCGTTTTCATCTTTCAATTTTTTCCGCTAATTTCCTTCACCTATATTTCTTTCTTTATTTTGATTTTCTCTCTTTCGTTTTTTGCAATGTTCTTTTTTTTTCATTTTTTTATTTCTCTTTCATTTAAGTTTTTGATCTTTCGTTGCTTTCTTTTCTCTTTCATTCCGCCATCTTTCATCTCATCTTTTCAAAAGTTCTTATATGTTTCTCAAATAAAATATACCTCCTTTTTTCTTTCTTTCTTTCATATTTCATTCATTCATTCATTCATTCTTTCTTTCTTTCTTTTTGTTGTAGCATACCTACGGACGATAATGGATATGTCTCCATTCACATAAATACAGTAGTAATTACTATATGTTGGATTGAATTTAGCGATTCATTGTGGAACCACTTGACTCACTTCTAGCAGTTGACTACTACTTCTACGCGCCGCTGGCGAATCTTATATGTATTGTTCTTGTACTAAGTATTATCGTTTATTATCAACCTTAGTGTGATTATTTTATTCAGTAACCTTCCCTACATCCCTTTCGATATTTTCTTTCTTTCTTTCTTTCCTTTCTTTTACTCGCGTGATTACTTCGTTACAATTTTCCTTTTTTCTTTATAAATACTTTCTTCTTTCTCTCATCATTTTTCTTTGCTATTTACCACTCTCATCTTTCTTTCATAAATAGATTGTCGTTTCTTTCTTTCTTTCTTTCTTTCTTTTCAAAACCTTAATTCCATCAGTTCTTTTTTTCTTTCTTTTTTTTTTTACTTTTTCTTCTTACTGTAATTCTTATTTAACCTTATATTTAATTCCTTTCTTTTAATTTTCCTTTTCCTTTTTTAAACTTAAGAAAAATCTTCTACAGATTTTAATGTCTTTTGCACTCAAATATTCTTTCATTCTTTTCTTTTTTTATAGCTCGCGTCATTAATTTCTTGCTTTATTTCATTCTTTTTTGTAATTTTTCTTTTAGCATTTTTTCTTTCTTTCTTTGATTTTTCTTTCTTTCTTTCATTCTTTCTTTCTTTCTTTCTTTCTTTCTTTCTTTCTTTCTCCCCATTTTTCCGCCTTTTATTATTTCCCAGTCATCTCAACAAAGACTTATTTACCAATTATTGGCGTGATATCGAGGCATGTCGTAACAAGCCCAGAGTGAATACAAACAACTCTTTTATCTGGTCTTTGCACTGCGTCAGCAGGTTCTTGTATTTTTTTTGGGGGGTGTTTTTAATGAAGTAACGTATTTCTTTTTATATAAAAATCTGTTTCCATTTCATTTTCTGTTCATTTCATAACGCAACATATGGCTTTCTGATATTGTTGTTGGCTGGTTTTAGAAAAAGACCCCATATATAAAGAGTTGGATTTGTTTCTTTGACGACCAATTTGGAATTGAGAGAAATATGTGTGTGTTTTTCCTTACAGATGAATTGTAATACTACGATTGAAATGGAAAGAAACAATACATGAATGAAGAAGAAGAAGAAGAAGAAGAAGAAGAAGAAGAAGAAGAACGCAGGTAAAAAATATATGAAAGTTTTTCTCGTCTGAGCCCATCCTTCAAATCTATAAATCAACCATTCGTCCTTGCATGGAATCTTGCTGGCATATATGGTCTTGTGCTCCCGCTGTACGTTTCGGGGTCCTTGACAAAATCCAGAGACGAATGCACAAGATGATAGGTCCTGATCTGGCATCTAGTCTGCAGTCGCTTTCTCACATACGGGCCGTCACCTCCCTCTGTCTTTTCTAAAAATATTTTCACGGCAATTGTTTTGACGAGCTACTTTCGATGGTTCCCAGACTGCATGAATTTAAGTCAGCTACTAAGCTGGCATGTCGGTCCCACCCTTATCTCTGTCGAAACTGTTAAATGTAAATGCCACTTCTACTCAAACAGCTTCTTCAATTGCACTTCCCGTCCGTGGAACTCACTTCCCTTTTCTTGCTTCCCCGATAACTATAATCTTCAAATATTCAAGTGTAATGTCAATCGACATCTGACACCCTGAACTTGTTCCCCGTCCTCCACTGTATCTTTTCATCGAAAACGCCTCCTTTATTCTTGTTCTCAATCCTCTGTAACATCCTTACGTGCCAGTGGTATTCCCGTCTTGCTTGGGGTGAATTGCTATGAAAAAATAGGTACGAAATCAATTAGTTATGTGTCATGCGTGATACACGCTTAGGCGATCATGTATCTTTCGATATATGCATTTTTCCCACAGTAGGTTGCCATTTCTTTCTGCTGTAGACCAGTTACCATCCAAGGTAATAGAACCCGGTCTGTTCTACTATTTACACATAGATGGCAAGATAAGAAGAGGATGCATAACTGTTAGAGGACCTACCTTTATGGACTAAATGGACACGTCCTATTACTATATATACGGGGAGATTATGCCTCTCAAGGGGGCTGTCTACAGTTCACCTGTTACAGCCAAACAGTCGAACTCTCTGCCTTCGGGCGGATAGGAACCTGGACGATGAAGGGCAGAGTCTCGTTCGGGGAGGTTGACTGCCCCTGAACCCGTTTATGCGGGTTCAAAGAGGGATTATTTTTGGCCGAGCCTATGGGCTCGGAGATCCCACGCTAAACCGGCCTTGTGCCACATGTAACCCTCGTGGGTGGGAGGTAGCTAAATATCGCTGTCTACAGTTGACCTGTGCCAGCTAAACAGTCGTACTCCCTGCCTTCGGGCAGAGAGGAACCCGGACGAGGCTCCGATGAAGGGCAGAGTCTCGTTCGGGGAGGTTGACTGCTTCTTTATGCGGGTTCAAAGAGGAATTATTTTTAGCCGAGCCTACGTTAAACTGGAAGATATAACTCTCGTGGAGGGTGGGGGTTAACTAAATATCGCTGTCTACCGTTGACGAGTTGACTACTGTACTTTGCCGTCAGTCATTTTTGTATTCGTTCTTTTTGTTTAATAATATGTTTTCACTAAATTGCTGAGTTCGAGTTTTCTTTCGGACCTATTCTGGGTCCGCAACAATAACTTTCCCAAGGTTAGTAGTACGTAAGTGAATATAATGTACTTGAGTGGAATTCGAACTCGGCTCTCCGATTTCTCAATCCGAGTCGCTATCCATTACTCCACCGAAATACTGAAATAAATAATGCATGAAATGGAACAAATAGAGAAATAAATAAAGAAAATAATGAATAATGGGTATGGTAGTAAGCTTTTCTCATTTGTCTCATTTCTACACACACACGCAAGCACAGAGAGAGAGAGAGAGAGAGAGAGAGAGAGAGAGAGAGAGAGAGAGAGAGTTAAATATATAAAATCCGGATCAAATATGGATCGTAAACCCACAGGATGTTTAAAAACACACACACACATATATATATTAATATATATATATATATATATATATATGGAAAAATTTATCAGAGTTAACCTGTTGAAAAAGAGAATATGTACAAAGGTAAAAGACAATAAGAAAACTATATTATTACTGTATTATTATTGGACGAAACGCGTCGGCTAATAATACAGTTTTACCTTTTTTATATATATATATATATATATATATATATATGTATGTTTGAATAAAAACAGACCACTTTAAGGTTCCATGTAATAAGTTATTTCACCACAACCCCTTTAACAGGGCTCTGGATCATCAGACTTTACTTCCAAAGTCATGAAATGAATATATATATATATATATATATATATATATATATATATATATATATGCAAGTTTTATTAGATATAAGGTAGCTAAAAGCAACGATGAGAATGCAAACATAAACAAAAGCATTAATATTTTTTATAAAAATCAGATGAACGAAAATTACAAACAAGATGAACTAGGACATTATAAAAAATGAACAACATCAGTAGACAAGAGCAAAAAAAAAATAGACAATTTATTTAAAAAAAATTAAAATCGCCAACCTTATAGTTAAAAATAATAATTCCCCACTTAGATCAAAATTAAATAGGACAAATATGATGATCGCTCTTCCTGTTATGACGTCCTGAACCAGTTTTCCTCTTTAGCTTACTCTTTTTTTTTTAAACTTATTCACCGTTTTGATGCTTCTTAAATGGACATTGAAGACGGAGGCCAGAGTATGAATATTAATACCATTACCCAAGGCCTGAATTATCTTTTTCGTGTCACCTTTGGTCATTTGGTAAGACATAGTGGGGCTGACACAAAACAATTTTAACCTTTCCTATTGTTACGGTATTTTGGGTATATACCACACGTAACTAGTGAGCGAGTCAAGATGACTTATTTCCCTTTATAGCCGACCAATAGAAGGTTGACCAATCCGAAGCCGCCCAACACTGTATTCGTCGTGTATAAAGGCGGCCATCTTGTTTCCTCCTACCGGAAGGACCAAAGGCGACCAGGAGAAGGATGAACTACACTCTGCTGTGATATCCACTGCGAACCTAAAGTACGCTTTCCTACTGTCTCCGAAATATTCACTGCCATCCTCTGGATTCTATACTCGAGGATGACCGTCATGAAAATGTCTAACACCTATTTCTAGCTGAATAACTCAAAGGATTTTTTAGTGATTTCTAGCACAAATGGTGTCAAGAAGGCTAAATGTCTCATCTAAAAACCTGGGGAAAAGTCGACAAAGTCCGACAATTATTTCAAGACATTTTCATGTTTATACAATCTCTTTTATAGATACAAATATTCAAGTAAATGCTCTGTTTATAATTAACAGTATTAACAACATTTACCGGCCTACTGCATAATGTGTGACGACATTTGTTTACATTTGGATACGCATCGGGCATCTATGAATGTACGTGAGAAAATCATGGAAAATTGTAGTTTAATAATAGTAAAATTGATCTTGCTAACTGAACTCTCCTCTGTGGCCGAATCGGTTAAAAGGCACGTCAGGCTATATGACGGTTCCGTATAGGATACAGGTTCGAATCCTGTCGGAAGACGAATATTTTCTGTGAAAATTTCTCGGACATTCAGACCGGTAAATGTTGTTTAATACTGTTTATTATAAACAGAGCATTTACTTAAATATTTGTATCTATAAAAAGAATGTATAAAAATGTGTTAATAAAGGTATAGTATTTTGTTCAAAATTGTGAATTAGTAATTTAGAGGATCAATGTACGCTTTAATATCTTTTTGGAACTTATTACTCATTTTCTGTGGAGGGTTTATCAAAGTATTTGCAACGTTGCAGGGTAGACAGCGCCGGATATCAACTTAAGAAGCCTTATTGTGGTAAACTAAACTGTTGGTCATTTGATGTCTTTCATCCAGAGCGGTTAATGAAAAATGCTTAGGTCCAGATAATTCATTATTATCACTTGGGTAGGTTGGGATAGTTCATTATTATTATGCAGGCTAAACTTTGGGGATAAGTTGTGGGGGGGACTATAAAAATAATTCTTGCAACTGCTCTGTAACGTTGCAGAAATAGCAATGTCATTATATAATCTGGAGGAACTTCTGAAAAATCGAAAATAGCTCTCCTCACTACTAATTCATATGTTAAAATCTCTATTAAATTCCAATATAGAAAATCATTTTCGTGGCTCCCCTGACCTTGTAAAATATCCAGCATGATTTCTCGTTCAATGTTTCGGTCGTATTTCAGAGGATCTGTTGTACTTTTTTTTTATTTATTTTTGCGGTCTTCTGTGTCTGAGTTTGTTTTCTTGACTCAGATAACAGCCTTCTGGTGTTCTCTTGGTTTAATCATATTGGGGAAAATTGGGTATTGTATATTAAAACGAACCAGATAAACAAAAAACATAGACTAAGAAATATATGAATGAAGCGAAAAAGAAAAGAAATGTGTAGAAAAGGTAAAGGAAATATGAAAATTCCAACACCAAAGATGAGAAGAATAATCTGTGAATGCAGTGAACAAACCTAATGACAAATGGCCGCCGTTGCTAGCGTTTGGTCTCATGTTTATGAAACTGAACAGACAGACGAAAACAAACAAGAAAACAAGCATAAAAAACGGTAGAAACAAATGAAAGACAACGAAAGAGAAGTTAAGATAAAAAAGAACAAACACATAGGACTGAAAGCAAACAAGAGAGACTGAAGCAAACAATATATTATTTTCATCTGAAAAAGAAAAAAAAAAGAAGGAAAATGCCTTTAGAAAAAAAATATGGCGTTGATTTCATTGGTTTACTTTTCTGGCTTCTGTTTAGCGGCATGGGTTATTTAATGCCGAAATCAAAATATAAAAAATTCAAATATAATAGTTGAGAAGCAAAAATAGAATTTATAATTAATATAAATGTATTGATAACACGCAAATAGAAATGATGTGAATCCATCACTTCCGTCCAGTTATTGGTTAAATATCAAGATAGGTTGTGTCGTATAGCCAACGTTGGCAAAGAGTCTGCTTCAGAAAGTAACTGCAGCCTATCGCGGCAATTCTTTTATAGTCAATCCTGAATCGAAAAGAGATATGAGCGCCCAATCGTGCATCACGCATAACACCTAAGGAAGGTGGGTGTATTACAAGGAAAATGGGTAAATAAAGCACTGTGGTCTTCCAGTTTATAATAAGAACAGTTTTCTTATTCATTTGAACTGTCCATATCTGAAACCGTGTAGCAGCAACCTACCTACATACATACCTTCCTATCTATCTATCTATCTATCTATCTATCTATCTATCTATCTATCTATGCCATTCTCTCCATATCTATCTCATGCTGTTCATTATCTATCTATCTATCTATCTATCTATCTATCTATCTATCTGCATGCATCATTCTGATCATATCTCTTTCTTTTCATTATCTATCTATCTATCTATCTATCTATCTATCTATCTATCTGCATGCATCATTCTGTTCATATCTCTTTCTTTTCATTATCTTTCTGTCTATCTATCTATCTCATTCTACTCAATATCTCTCTATATATCCATTCGATTATATCTATCTATCTATCTATCTATCTATCTATGCCATTCTCTCCATATCTATCTCATGCTGTTCATTATCTATCTATCTATCTATCTATCTATCTATCTATCTATCTATCTATCTGTATGCATCATTCTGTTCCTATCTCTTTCTTTTCATTATCTATCTATCTATCTATCTATCTATCTATCTATCTATCTATCTATCTATCTATCAAGGCATTTATTTACTATATTAACACAGCATAGAATTAATACTCCTGAGAAAATGACGTATTTTCTAAAGACATGTCAACATT